TTGGGAAGTGATCGATGTAAACTAGGCCAATAAGTGCGTTACATACGATTCGTCCGCGACCCGGGGCAACAGCCCCGAGGCGTCGTCGCCGGACAAAATAACTATCGTTATAACGAACGATAAAGAACAATAAGTGCGTCATATGCGAATCGTCCGCGACTCAGGGCAGCAGCCCCAAGGCGTCGTCGCGGGCATCTCTATCGCGAGTGCGAGACATTGTGAATTTGTGGCGTATTTTAAGACCGAACGATAAACCAATCTATTTACGAACAATACAATCTATTTATTACGCGAAAGGACAGCGCGAACACGAATACTGTTCGTGTTGATACTGAACAGTGTAACTGAATTAAGTTACAGTTACAAGCGGAGAAAAAGTAATGAAGTTAAGTTAGAGTTGCCAAAAAAAAGTAACTGTAACTGTAACTTCGTTACAACCCTGGCTGAAAGCCACGCGAACTGTCAATCGACTTGCAAGCTTTCTGTAAGAACAGAATTTCCGTACACGTTCTTCTTAGTAAATTCAAGGATCAATCGTTTGATTTCTCGTCGTCTTCGAGTCGGTCTCTCCACGCTTGTGTAAGAACAGGTATCTTACGTTGATCGCGGCATATTTTTATTAGCATTATTACCACTTACGCGCAAGGTAGCTGTGTTCGAAGTTCAGAGATGTATAAAAGATTATTTAAATAAAAAATGAAACTGCTATGTTTTCCGCGAGCAACGAAGGTTTCGAGGATTTATCTTCGTTGCGTCAAACCGTGTGTAAAAGTTTCACATAAATCGAATCCTCGCGTCTCATTCGGCTTATAAAAGTATTTAATGAAAATTACCTAACGTCGACGCCCCTAGTTTAGGGATCAGCCGAGACATATTAACCATAGAGCTCCACCGCTTGTGAGGCATCCTAAGTGGGAACAGTCGCCCGAGGGAAAAGGATAGTGTGAATGTATTTCGGTGTCTGTTTTTCTCCAGTGAGCTTGAGTCACGAGAGTCGGAGACAGATAGGCCACCCAAATAAATTCGTGCTGTCCTTTTCCCTCAGGAGGATGCTGTCCCACTGTCTCACAAGCAGTCTACGGTTAAAATGTCTATGGAGATCAGTAGATACGTCTTTCGGAAAATATATTTTTAATAACGGTATTGTAATAAAATCAGCTCGGCCGGAATCTACTTTAAAGTGCAAAACTGCGTCAAGAAATGTACGTGCTGAGTTTATTAATAGGGAAAAGTCCCTCATTATGAGATAGGCTTCTAGGGACAGCAGGTTTTCAGCCTCCAAATTCAATTACAAGTCTTCTTTCGCAACGATTGCACGAATGAATTTTCCATTGAACAAGTTTCACTCCAAGAGCAATAAATTTCGTGAAAGAAAAACCAATAAATGATGTCTATTAATTTAACAGAAACTCTGCTATCTCATATTAGGAACGTATCTCATAATTGGAGACTTTCCTCTGATAATAGTGCACCTGAAAAATGTTAAGAGTGCCGCTATAATATCTGTTTTATCAGAAGCAAATTTGACGTCGACAGCTATTAGTATTAATACTGATTCAATAAATCTCTCTTATCTATCATCAGCGCAATCTAGAGAAAAAATCGATTGATGGTGACATCGCAGAAGCTATCAGTGCAACAAAGTGTTTCGCAACGAAAATATCGCGATATGTTTGAGCTACTAAGTTAGTCATCCTTTATCCAGATTAGAGAAAAAAAAGGTTTGCCGAAGTGATAGTGTGGCGAGCGTCTTTTATCAATGATTCAGACAATCATTGGCAACGGATACTCATTTAAATTTAGAGTGACTCACTTTTTTTATTGGCTTTTAACGATAGCATTTCCTAAATCGGTGTGAATTTCTCTTCGCGTAAAAAACGCCGCGGGAGGTTCACCGATGAACTTGATTTAACACATTTTGTTGCTTTGTTATTGAGGCTTGGTGTAACGGGAGAACAAAGAGAACGTGAACAAAGAGCATAGACATATAAAAGATAGACTGAGGTAGTGGGGGATGTCCTCCTGAGGGAAAAGGACAACACCAATTTATTTGGGTATCTATCTTCTTCTAGAGACCCTCTAATAAGAGTCTGGCCATAACAGCGATTGTGGCAAAATCCTACGAGAGAGAAAGATATATATTTGCTATCTCGAGATAGCAAATATATATTTTTCTCTCTCGTAGGATTTTGCCACAATCGCTGTTATGGCCAGACTCTTATTAGAGGGTCTCTATCTTCTTCTAGTGTACGTGATCACGTGATCACCTTCAGATCTCGTCCACTAGAGGAAGACAGATACCCAAATAAATTCATGTTGTCCTTTTCCCTCAGGAGGATGCCCCCACCTAGGGTTCCACTGCCTCATAAGCAGTCTATCTTTTATATGTCTACATGTGACAAAGAGATACGTAGGCCTTTGTGTTTCATAGGGGAAGCGAAAGAAAGTTCTATAGTGGAAACTGTGTAGATACATTAGAGGCGCTCAAAGGCGATTTTTACGCAGTACCATACTGTTATTGCATTAATTTTTCGTCGAAATAACGCGACCGTGCGAAGCTCCGTATTCTGCGAGACTAACTAAAGAATCACAAAACTGTCTCTTCGATTGCTGACTACAAATACTGAATACTCAAAGGAAATACTGTGAAATCGTTGCTCATTTTTATTAATAGAAATATGTATTTCATTTAAATCGGAAGCTTTTAATTAATATGAACTATATTGAAAACTCAGCGCAAAAAAAAACTGGAGCGCAAAAAGAAATTTTATTATTAAGCGTACTATTGTCCCGTTATTTAAAAAATCGGCCATTCTTGGCAACGCGATGGCTGCGCATTAAATTTATTACATTGAGCGAAATTGAAGCTAGATCTGAATCTCGATTTCACACACGCCTATTCGTCGCGAAACTTTTTGTTTACTCGTATTTTCATTAGCAAAGAGCAAAATTGTAGGCGTATTGCGTACGTGAAATAGAGACGTTCAATCCGATCTCGTCAATGAAACTTATATCGTGTTCGTATAAGTATAAAAATAAACGCAATGATAAGAGGATCCTGCAATATTCATATATAATATATGAACTTGTTAAGAATTTGACAATAATTTTTCTATAAGATTTATTCGTTTATTCGTTTAAAGTTGATTGGAGGACAAAAATGTTTCATATATGACACTATAATTCCTGCAGGTTAAGATTTTTCGACACGAGACCGATCCTTGTGTGTCCTCGCACAAAGGGAACCGTAGCGGCTGGTGCGAGACTTATCGTTATAGGTTCTTGTTCCACTCGTGACACTCGGGATGGGGTTATAATGCGTCTGTCGCATTTGCGAAACGTCTTGCGATAGTTGGGGGTTTCATCGATTCTGACTTTTGTCCACGTGCAATTTCTACCACGCTGATTACCTGTTGCTCCTCGGCCTCGTCGCCAATCTCCGAGGGTTCCATATCGCGGCGGAAGAGAGACTAAACCCCGATCTACACTGTGCGCTGGCACTCGCGCCGTCGAAAGCTTTGCGTAGAGGAAGAAAGTTTTACCACCACGTCCGCGGATCGCACCCGAGGAACTACTGCGAGAAGGGTAAATCCTCGTTTGACAAACCTCTGATACCAACCGTGTGATTATCGAACTCAGGTAGACAATCAACTTATCGAGCCTTATCGCGCCTTTGATTATATATCGCGTTCGCTCGGCGGCGAGCGGCCAATAGAAATGTGTTTATTCCGCAAAACCGCAGGGATCTTGTAATGTCACAGGACGTTTGCGGTTACGCGAAGCGCAGTTATATCGTGTATATGTACTTTGTAAAGGTCAGCCTTGTAAACAGTAGGACTCTATTATCTACAATTTATTTTATCGGGAGGCAGTCAGAACTTCATTTACAAGTTTACACGCTAAGTAGGTTTGCGTTTCTTATCATCTATATATGTATATTGACGCTCCGTTGTCTTTATTAACATCTTAATCTCATCAAGAAGTATAACTGAGTGTGTATACGATAATTGAAATGAGCATCTTGATCTCATCGAGATGTATGAGTGTGTATACGATAATTGTAATGAGCAATTTGTTAGACGTCAGAAAAGAACGCGAAACCCAGTGAACATCCAGGGAAAAATGGAAATATCTCATTATACAGGGTGTTTCATTTTAATCTAGCCAGGCGATTAACACAATTATTAAAAAAAATTTTTTTATACTTGTTACAAAATTGTGTTTTCTTTACATCGATTGATTTGTCTCATTATTCTGTTCAAAAAAGTATTAAGGTAAGATGATAAAAAAATGAATATTTTACAAGATATTTTGTAATTCATGTCAAAATATTGGAACTTTCAAACCTTAGTAACTCAAAAAGTTCTTAATAAAAAAATACTTTATTATAGCGTTTCGGAAAGCTCTCGAGGTCAGCTACAAGAATATGTAATAAAAAATAGGAAATGCTATTTTAAAAAATTGGTGTGACCTTTATGTGACCTTCAAATAATTCTTCAAGGTTAAACCAATGGTACCATCTTATGTCTCCCTCGAAACCATACAACTTTTGTCTGAAACATTTTTCTCTAAACTCAACAGCGTTTGAAATATTCGCCTGGCTAGATTAAAATGAAACACCCTGTATATGTCTCAATTATGTAATATCCAATTATATTCAGTTCTAAAATCATCGGATTATCAGAGATCCGACGCTTTCATTGAATATTCAACGTTATTATCTATTAGGATCTAATTATGTTCTCTTAGGACATTAAATTATAGATTTAGTTAGATTTCAATAGATACCCTTACGGAAAAAACGCTCAAGTTTTGAGTGTTAACACCCGATTGTCCAAATTTACTCTCGAATTTGGGTGTAAATATTCAAATCTGGAAGTTTGCGCCCAAGTTTGAGGGTAAATTCGAACAATCGAGTGTTACACTCAAAACTTGAGCGTGTTTTCCGTAAGAGTAACATTCGAACATTTAAGAAAAGTGTCAAGTCTCTGAGGATCAGATGATTTTTAGATATAATATAATTACACGTAGATATTACATGATTGAGATGTTATATTTACATCGTGAGTGAGAAATTAAGCCCGCTGCAGACGATGCTATTTTTCCTGCTGGATTGCTTGCGATTTACTAAATTACTAGGAATCCTGAGTGCTGAATGGTGCAACGATAGTAATTTATTAGATCGCAAGCAATCCAGCAGGAAAAATAGCATCGTCTGCAGCGAGCTTTATACATAATGCAGTGTAATCGATGTTTACGACGTCGATCGACGAATCATTTCTCACTGGATATGAGTGACCGGCCTAAAACTGCTATGTAACGCCTGCATCTCTCGAATGGATTTGGTGTTTTGGGATTTCTGCATCGCACGAGCGCTCACCACAACCCGATTTTGACCTGATTCTAGCCCGACTTTGACCCTCGGTGGAAACGTAGTCGATGCGATGCCTGCAGAATGAGAGAGAAAGAGAAAGAGCGAAGAGCAAAACGACGACAGACACTGTAGAGGACCAAAGGACCTCGTTATAGTACGAAAATGCACACAGTAGGCGTTGATCGGATTTTCACCAGGCTATTATTTATGTGCGCTTTCGGAGCAGCATTTTTATGCTTGTTTTCTATTGCCGCGCTGGTGAATTCGTGCGGTAAACTGGAATGAGAAAAATATACCTGTCTTAGGTCAACGGCACACACGATGCTATTTTTCCTACTGGATTGCTCTTGCGTTTTAGTAAATTACTAGAAATCCTGAGTGCTGAGCAGCGCAATAATAATAATAATAATTTACTACATTGCAAGCAATTTCCCCAAGGAGCGCCAATGCGCATAGAACGTGCTTTTAAGTTTTTAACGCACGTTTTATTGCATCGGCTTCAAAACATTTACTCTAATAGCGGTTGCTCGCACTAGCGTGCACTGAGTGCACAACTAATTAGACTTGTTTACAGTCAAGTCTTACATTTGCGAATCGTCTAAAATATTTCTTGAGAAATATTTCGTAGCCAGTAAAACGATCTGGACAGCATCCATGCGGATAATATTTTTGCTAAACACTCTTTGAACCCCACGCAGCACCAAAGCTTTCAGAAACATTTCAGAAAACATTGTTGCAATGTTGCAATGTTTCTGAAATGTTTCTGAAAGCTTCGGCGCTGCATGGGACGTGTTTTTAACACAAAGTTAGGTATAAAAATGGACTATGAACAGGCCTTAGTGTGCACTCAGTGCGCACTAGTGCGGACAATCGAATTCGCGATAATTTATTAGTAACAGAAGCCGAGCCTCTTGTTCGCCGAAAGTTGGCACAAGGATAAAATGGTACACACGAGGCGGGTGGTGTTTTTGAACGCAGCCCGGGGAGTAGGGAGTCGACCGAGGCATCTCAACATTTAACGCGATTGGTCGGCCGGCGAGGACCGCCAGCCTATCGCGACGCGTCTTGCCCGTAGCCCGCGGTCCCATTGGATGCTTCCCGCCGTTCCATCTTCGCAGGCTTCGCATGCACCTTCGCTCAGTTGCACCGTTGCACAGGTTGCACTGTTGCAACGAGCAACGAGACAAACGAGACAAACGTAGTTGCGAATCACTCGTTCCGGGTGGACTGTCATCCCGCGCTAGCCTGCCCGGGTTTTCCCCTTGCCTAGGAGAGATGCGTAATTTCCGAGACGTCGAAAGGTAAACTTAAGCGCGGCGCGGCCGCACATTGACGCTGGTCCCGAACCAGAAACCTTGTACTCGGGACTCGCTACCTGGACAGTCCGAGAACGTCCCGTCGTGTCCCCATTGTGTTGTGGAGTCGTGTTTGTGCGGCGTGTAAGTAAAAACGTCACAGCGAGACGCATTACAAAAGCGCTGAGCTGAGCCGAGCCGAGCTGCCTGCGAACTGCGCACAAACTCGATACTTCGTGCCGGAAATATAATACCGTCGGGGGGAGGGGGGAGTCTCCTCGGAGGGTTTTCGGCGAACCTGTCCGATTTCTGTCGACACGGTGTCGTTAACTAGCGACAGAGCCAGCGGCAAAAACCCCCGTTGGAAAAGGAGTGGCTTCTACAAGTCGTGGTCCAGCTAACAAGAAGCGTCGATAGAGAGTTGCACAATTGCGGAAAAGCGCAACAGAGATCTAGGAACTGCGAGCAATCCCGATCGGAATTCACTCCGAGAGGTTTCATAACGCACTCTGACTTGTATAGGAAAGTCCCCGATTATGAGATAGGCTGCTAATATGTTTTCAACATCCAAATTCAACCGCAAGTCCCTCTTCGCAGCTATTGACACAATCTAACGATGAATTTTTTATCCAACAGATTTCAAGAGCAATAAATTCGTAGCGGAACCAACTGATGATGCCTGTCGATGCAGAGACCCCACTGTCTCTAAAGCCCAATGTCCACGATGCTAGAACTTGGACCAAGTTCTAGCATCGTGGATACAGACCTTTATTAAGGCCAATGTCCACGATGCTAGAACTTGG